TCTTCCAATCATTGTGGACGAATACCCAATAATCCCTTGCTTAATATAATACGCCAGATCAAATTACCGGGATCCTTTTAGGAAAAATACTAGATTATTACACAATGAAACATAAATCAGATGGCCGGTGGGGTCTTGCACCTAGTATTACTCAGAATATATCTAAAAGTTATTTCACTTCAACATAGATTTGCAGCTGAAAAAATTTCCCCCTCCAAACAGCTTCATCTCTTAGTAGCAGGACTGGCTAAGATATGTATGCACATAATTTAGGAGAGGATATCTCAATTGTTATAAGGCTAATATGACCCAAGGGAACAACCTCGGATGTGTGCCAAAATTCTCTATCCGGGGCGAACAGCCGAAAATGACCACGCCTTTTTCATGCGAAAGTGCTATCTACCGACATAGCTATATCTTCTAAACCGTTGGAGCTAACAGATTTTCTGAGGTGCTCAAAATGTTCAGAATGGCCATTACATGCCTAGGGGGCGCATAGAAGAGTGTGAAATTTGATATTCACAAGAAAATGGCTAAAACCATTATGTCAACTTATTACCATACAAACAACTAACTACCTACTTACTGGAATGCCAATATTTATAAACAGTTAATATATCCTCTCCATAAATTATGGTGCATACTCCTCTAGGAAGTTCCCAACTCCTCTACAATCGCTACATGAACGGTGGATTTGTCGTGAACAACCACCAGGATAGGTAGTGGAGTGCACTTTGACCAGGCGCTAGAGCAGCGCTACAACCGCCCTGCCAAAGTGTGTGGGGAATAATTGGGGTCACCAGAAGAAGGAAGCCGTTGCTCTGTGGGGAATCATCAAGCATAAAAAAGACTAGTACGTTGACCTGAAGATGAAGGATGATATCAAAGGAGAACTCTTACTTCACCACGCAGTTCAACCCGAGTAATGCAACTAAGATAGTTGGGATGGTGCAAGACATAGAGGAGTATCTCCTGAAGGTATGCAGCCCTACAAGACCAGGTAGCGCTGAAGAATGTTCTCACTGGAGAAATTGTGACCGACGTAAACGTAGACAAGTTGTTGCGCTGTATCAAGGAGGGCCAGTGCTGCATGTGCTAAATTTATCGATGATCGACTCAGAAATAAGTCGATATTGATACACTCAACTATTAGCAAAATCAAGTTTAGGTCCTCTAAGAGTAAGACCAGCTTGAATTTGGCTCCCAAAGCAGACATCAAAAATGAGACAATCAAATCTCTCATGTTTATTGAGTATGGGTGTCACCGGGGGTTCACTGTTGAAGCACTACTCCAGCATGAGATCACCAACTCTGCGTTCTTCTTGGTTGACAAAGACGGTTACTTGAGGAAGAGTGCCAAATCACAACTTGGGATTGAGCTGCTGAGGTTGTGCCCACTGATAGATAAAAAAAGGGCCAGAAACCTCCCCACACACCCACGCCATCGTTATCGACTTCATGGCCTTGGTGAGAAAGGTCCCGTTAAAGAAGCTTGATCGCCTGTCAAGACATTCCATGACTTTGCTATTGCCTTGACATCTATGGTCACCAAAGCTGGGCACAACTGTGATAAGATCCACCTTGTTTTCGACGCTTACAGAGAGGACAGCATCAAGAATGGAGAGAGGGAGAGAAGAGGGAAGTCAAAAGAAATGGTTGTCCTTGATGCGATATCACCGAACCAAAATGTGCCAGTGGTATTAGAGAACCTTTGTCGCTCTTCCATCAGCCAATCAGCAAAACTGCTTTCCATGCATTATATGTTGAGTGGCTCACCACCAATTACCAAGGCACATCACCACAGGCATGGATGGTGTCAGCTGGGTGTGCATCTCCATTTCCTTGGCTCAACTGCACACATGAGGAAGCTGATGACAGGATGATGTTCCATGTGCAGGACATTCTAAGTCACCGGTCAGGAGCTACATCCATGATGCTGTCATCAGGTGACACAGATGTCTTTGTGTGCCTAGCTGTTATACCACATCACAGTCAATTGGAGAGATCTTGGCCTCCAAGACCTGTCTCATCCGCAACTCAGGAGTAAAAATATCAATATTACCACTCGATATCTGCATAGCGCTGGGAGACGAGCTGTCTAAGTGTCTCCCAGCACTCCATGCGCTGACTGGGTGCGATACAACCAGCAAGGTATCAACTAAACTTTCAGCCCTGAACGCTGTCCACAAAACGGAAAATTTCTCTCTGATCCTGAATTTCGACTGTCCACAGCTAACAGAAAGCGCAATACAACTGGCGAAAACATTCTTGGTCAAATGTCTCAAACCATCAACAGACCTGAAGACACTTGACGACCTGCGTCTTGCCGCATTTGATAGCAATGCCCTGAAGATGGACTTTGAGAGAACCACTTGCACCTCAACTAATGGAAGCAAACATATCCATAAAGCCTATCACCAGCAGCAGCTGTGGGTCCAAGCCCCATTTAGAGATGCCACTTTGATTATGAATGCCGAGTCTTATCGTTTTGTAAGAAGGGGCAGTTTGTTAGTCCCTGAAATTGTCATCTCAAAACCCGATGGCCTGCCAGATCCTTGCACGTGCGGCAAGTGTGCTCGCAAGAATGGGTGTCCCTGCAGGGTAGCTGGGATCAAGTGTTGCAAGTACTGCAAATGCAAGGGAGGTGATTGTTGTAAAAACCCTATCACTGAATGAACACTGCTCATCATCCTCATACGTGGACTCTGTTGTGTTACTCTTCGTGTTCCTGACCTTGGTTTATGTGACACATAAACAGTACCAATACTAATGTGGCGTTAAAAGTTGTATTGTTGGCTGTTGGGCAATTTCCCTGCTGGTCTTTGAAACATTTAAGCTCTCTATAGAAGACACAAATGTTCTAACTCTGATCTAAATCCAGAAAGTTTAAGTTAATAAATATATGGCAATTCCAGTATGTAGGTAGTTAGTTGTTTGTATGGTAATAAGTTGACCTTGGCCATTTTCTCGTGAAATATCCAATTTTACACTCTTCTATGACACCCTAGACATGTAAGGGCCATTCTGAACATTTTGAGCACCTCAAAATATCTGTAGCTCCAACGGTTTAGAAGATACAGCTATGTCGGTAGTAGCACTTCCGATGAAAAAAGACGTCGTTATTTTTAAAAGGGCGTGGTCATTTTCGGGCTGTTCGCCCCGGATAGAGATTTTGGCACACATCCCAAGTTGTTCCTTGGGGTCATATTAGCCTATAACAATTGAGATATCCTCTCCTAAATTATGTGCATACATATCTTAGCCAGGTCCTGGACTATCTGTAACTGCTCGGATTACTACTGCAAAATCGTGCAATTACCGACAACATCATTATAACGCGTGGATAATGGATACTGCACACAGATGATAGACACTGATGGCGCACTGCACCTACCGTGATGTTTTTAACGAGCACCTCCTGGCCGCACGCGTCCAGGCTCAGCCACTTGTCGATGTAGTTCAGCAGGAACAGATTGATGGCACGATGTCTGTGAACAGCGAGAGCGCACACAACCCGACAACTTAGAAACGCTTACCGGACGATGTTATCAAAGTTAGACCAGCGCGTGCTAATATTTCAAAATGTGCCTCTTAATGTAAAAACCATGTGAAATCAAATCGAATTTGGCAACGGGGAATTTTACATTGCAGGCTCATCGCCCAAGTGTGTCCTTATTGGCTAGAAAACAACTTATTGTGATCATTTTATTGAAGATAAACACGTGGATAGGTACGAGTTGGTTTAGGGTTATTCAAGATATATCTACTGATGCATTAACGCAGATATAATTGATTTAATTAACTAACTCGAAAATGTTTACAAATAAACAATTAATGAATATAACTATATCATGTTAAATGCAGAATTATGATGTTTTAAGCTAAACTCTACAAATTGCATGGAAAGGCATCAATGTAAAATCTTCAATGGAAAGAGATACTTTTTGATATTTTTGTTATGAGATTTGAGATGATTAGAATTAACCTACAGCCTTCATAATTTAATTTAATTTAAAAAATGTTTATAATTTAGTGAAATTTAATTTAAATGTACTATAATTTAAAAATGTATCAAAATACTTTAAAAAATGGCTCTAATGACTAATGGAGCAATTGTCACGTGATAGTGCATATGGACTGAATGCAGTCAAAACATCACCATCATCAACATCATCTTTAATACAAGTACAAGTTCAATCTTTTAACAGTAATAACTACTAGCTTGGTAATGATGACACAGTAAAAGTCCAATAAACGGATTGGCAGAAACCCAAGTATATTCAAATAACCCTCCATATTACTCCTCTCAAATATATTAGCTGCAGAATCATATATAAAGAAATTATATTTTTGTTTCTTATCAATATTTACTATCTGGTTATTGATTATTCTCTAACTGAACTACTTCCTATTCATAAGTTCTAGTCCGTATATAGTTCCGTCCGTCAATTGCACCTCTGTCAGTCCAATGAGCAAAAATGATTATAGTTGGCAAATTTTGACTCTTTTCTAATTTTCAGTTAAGAATTATGCTTTTTAGAATGCGAGATGTCGGTTTATTGGACATTTTACTGTTCGCTATTCTTTGAATTAGATGTAAATGCTAGTAAAAACTATATTAACTAGAAACTAGTAATATAGAAAGTATAAACTAGAACTTTTATAACATAGCTACGATGATGATGTACGACAATCATACCAGGGGGTTCACACACAGATATCCCACACGTCCTCCATGACAATAGATTTGGATCTTCTCACAATGAAAACGTCTTGTGACTTGTGAGTTTAGGTCTCGTACGTTTAATTGCTTAATTACTGTCTAATGCTTGGCGTATTCTGGAAATATCACACGAACCTATACCAGAGTTGCACGCTATCACCTTGTCAATGTGTTAAAATATTAAAATACACCGTGTATGATATGAGCATCTGGCAAAATAAAACTTTTTAAAACTCTATGCCAAGTGCATATGCTTTTTGCTAATATTTATACACGCTTAAATGAAAAATGCCAACTATACTATCGTCTCTACAATTGTTCAAAACATTTGACAGAATTTCACAAAATTCGCCAAGCTTCGCGATGATATGAACTCTTCCCGCGCCGAAAACGTGCCTTCTTTCAAATTTTGTCTTCCTTTTTAAACAAATTCTTGGCTTGTTTCGCGAGACCACGCACGAATGAACCCCCGAGTATGAACACAGGCGACAACATAACATGCACTTGCCTAAGGTAATCGTTTACTCTGCACACCACTATATTTTACGTCACTAACGTTAATCTTACGCTATTGTTGCTTGCGTCAAAATACGCATAACAATTAGACGATGCTAAACCCTTGTGCGCAATCCGTGCCATCGTTTGATATAGGACTACATAGTAGAGGAAATGTTGTGCATTGCATCAATACCACCGCAGTGAAAACCACTTTGTGCAATTCTAATATAGGGCAACTACCGAAAACTCGAGCACATTGACACAGATAGCAACAGGGGTTCTATCACTCCTGACAGAATTATTACGCAGACACTTCTACTGACATTCAACAATGAACACTTAGCTACTACGACAACAAATTCAGTCCTTTTGAGCAATATAGTTGTTTTTCGTCACTCCAATTTTTCCAGTTTTGTGATTATTTTTATTACCTCCGCCAAGAGGTTGGCAGGAGGTTATGTTTTCACCGGCGTGTGTTTGTTGGTTTGTGGGTTTGTGGGTTTGTGGGTTTTTGGGTTTGTTTGTGTACAGCCTAACTGAAAAAGTTATGGACGGATTGTCATAAAATTTTCAGGATAGGTCAGAAATGGGCTAACTTAGAATTGAGGAGATTTTGGTCGTGATCCGAATCCAATTAATTAATTAATTAATTAATAACATTTTCAGGATAGGTCACAAATGGGGTAACTTAGAATTGATTACATTTTGGTGGTGATCCGGATCATATACATATTATACATATTCTACATATACATATTATCAAGAGCTAATAATACCTATTTTATTAGCTCTTGTTATTAGCTCCTGATATTATAAATATACATATAGATATTCTACATATTCTACATATACATATTATACATATTCCGTACATGCAAGTACAGAATGCAAAACGCATGTACAGAGACAAACTAGTAGGTTGCGATTGGCGATACGGTTAGTGGTGACAACACAGACACATCAGTCCATTGATATACCATGGGTATGTGTTATTTGAGACTTTGTAAGACGCGAGGACTACTGAGCGTTAAAACTAGTTGTTTATCGCTAGATTATGCCTATGATCTGCAGTGCCAAGAGACGATATAGTAAAACTCACATATACCAATACTGGATTACTCTATAATAGTAGCCTGTCTTACCCGCTTTATTTACAACCTCGATTCCTAACTAACTCATATACGTATTGTACTGGCGAGTTAGAGTTAAACAAGTATAGCTTAGGAATTGCAATAACTTCAAATGGTATTTTTGATAAGTTTTCCCAACCATCTTCCAATCATTGTGGAACGAATACCCAATAATCCCTTGCTTAATATAATACGCCAGATCAAATTACCGGGATCCTTTTAGGAAAAATACTAGATTATTACCACAATGAAACATAAATCAGATGGCCGGGTGGGGTCTTGCACCTAGTATTACTCAGAATATATCTAAAAGTTATTTCACTTCAACTAGATTTGCAGCTGAAAAAAATTCCCCCTCCAACAGCTTCATCTCTTAGTAGAGGACCTGGCTAAGATATGTATGCACATAATTTAGGAGAGGATATCTCAATTGTTATAGGCTAATATGACCCCAAGGAACAACCTCGGATGTGTGCCAAAATCTCTATCCGGGGCGAACAGCCCGAAAATGACCACGCCCTTTTTCATCGAAAGTGCTACTACCGACATAGCTATATCTTCTAAACCGTTGGAGCTACAGATTTTCTGAGGTGCTCAAAATGTTCAGAATGGCCATTACATGCCTAGGGGGGCCATAGAAGAGTGTGAAATTTGATATTTCACAAGAAAATGGCTAAAAACCATTATGTCAACTTATTACCATACAAACAACTAACTACCTACTTACTGGAATTGCCATATATTTATAACAGTTAATATATCCTCTCCTAAATTATGTGCATACTCCTCTAAGAAGTTCCCACTCCTCTACAATGCTACATGAACGGTGGATTTGTCGTGAACACCACCAGGATAGGTAGTGGAGTGCACTTTGACCAGGCGCTAGAGCAGCGCTACAACCGCCCTGCCAAAGTGTGTGGGGGAATAATTGGGGTCACCAAGAAGAAGGAAGCCGTTGCTCTGTGGGGAATCATCAAGCATAAAAAAGACTAGTACGTTGACCTGAAGATGAAGGATGATATCAAAGGAGAACTCTTACTTCACCACGAGTTCAACCCGAGTAATGCAACTAAGATAGTTGGGATGGTGCAAGACATAGAGGAGTATCTCCTGAAGGTATGCAGCCCTCTACAAGACCAGGTAGCGCTGAAGAATGTTCTCACTGGAGAAATGTGACCGACGTAAACGGAGACAATGTTGCTCTGTACAAAGGAGGGCAGTGCTGCAGTGCAAAATTATCGATGATCGACATCAGAAATAAGTCGATATTGTGCACTCAACTATTACAAAATCAAGTTAGGGCCTCTAAGAGTAAGACCGCAGCTGAATTTGGCTCCCAAACAGACATCAAAAATGAGACAATCAAAATCCTCAGTTATGAGTATGGTCACCGGGGGTTCACTGATGAAGCACTACTCACAGCATAGAATCACCAACTCGGCGTCATTCTTGTTACAAAGGACGTTACTTAGGAAAATGTGCACAAATCACAATGGGATATGAGCGCTGAGGTTTGTGCCCACGATAGATAAAAAAAGGGCAGAAACCTCCCCACCCACCCAACCCATCGTTATCGACTTTCAGCGCCTATGTGAGAAAGGTCGGCCGTACAATGAAAAGCTTGATCGCCTGTCAAGACATTCCATGACTTTGCTAATTGGCCATTGACAATCTAGTCACGCAAAGCTGGGCAGCAATGGTGATAAAATGCCACCTTGTTTCGAACGCTACAGAGAAGACAGCTCAAGAATGGAGAAGAGGGAGAGAAGGAAAGTCAAAAACGAAATGGTTGCTTGATGCGATATCACCGAACCAAAATGTGGCCAGTGTATTAGAGACCTTTGATCGTCTTCATCAGCAAACTGCTTTCCAGCATTCTATTGAGGCTCAGCGCCACCATTTCACCAAGGCACCAAACGCTCTATACCTTGGTATTAATCACCAACAGGCAGGATGCCGCAGCTGGGTGTGGCATCTCCATTCCTTGGCTTGCAACGCACACGATAGGGAAGCTATGACGAGGAGATGTTCCAGTGCCGTACATTCTAAGCTCAGTCCAGCAGGAGCTACACCATGATCTGCAATCAAAGGTGACACAGGATGCTTTGGTGCCTACGTTATCCACATACACAGCAAT